TAATAACGATCTTAAAAAAAGTGTATCTCTAGAACAAAAAACTTTTGTGAAATATCTAGGAATTCTGATAGATAATAACCTCTCTTGGAAGTATCATATTGATTATATCTCATCTAAAGTTAGTAAAGGAATTGGTATAATTGCCAGGTTAAGACATCTTGTCCCATTTGCCACACTTCTTAACATCTACCGCTCCTTAATTGAACCCTATATCTCTTATGGTCTTATTGCCTGGGGACAAGCTGCTAACACTCATTTAAATAAGGTTCTCATTTTACAAAAACGTGCTCTACGACTAATGTATTTTGCGGATAGCAAAACTCATAGTGCCCCGCTATTTGTTAACTCCAGAATCTTACCAATAACTATGCTCTATTCTCATTTGGTTTCCTCTTTGATGCATGACATTGATAATCACCGTGCCCCGTCTAATATTTCTATGCTCTTTCTCCACTCCGAGCAGGTTCATCACCATTTCACAAGATTCTCAGCAACGGCTAATCTATACGTTAAAGCGTCTAGAACTAACCAACTTTTATTTTCTTTTGCTAGAATAGGTGTAAGATTGTGGAATAGCATCCCAAAAGAACTTCGTATTAAAAACAGAACCCCGTTTAAGCGTGAACTTAAAAATCGCCTGTTAAAACTTTTGGAAAATGAGGAGATGAATGTTGATATACGCTGCTCAGAAATTTGTAAATATCTCTTGATAAAGTAACTCTTCGTTTAAGTCTTGTTTCAATTGTATTATATATCTTGATAACTTTGCAATTGATTATTTAATTATTCAACGGACTTAATTTTATTTTATTTTATTTAACAATTGTATTTTTATTTAATGATTATCTTTGTTTAATTGTATCGTATGTGATCATTAGCAGAGACAGCACTTGTTTTAGAAGGGTGGCCCGCCTAGAATAGCTTGCTAATTGCGGGTCACCTAGGACTGTGATAATATTGTCTTGCTAACAAATAAATAAATAAATTGATTGATTGATTGATTGAACTGTTTTATACTTTTATTCGTATCTCCGCTGTTCAATTTCAAACAACAGCGGGCGGCAAAGTTCCGCTTCACAGCGCGCGCCAGCCCGGCGTGAAGGCCATATTGTTTCGATTCAAGAAGAAAAAAATTGCCCGCAGTTGTTTCATTGTGCAGCTATACTCAGTATGGATAAACGCCGTGCCTTACCAAGAATCAGTGAATGTCCTGTAATCAGCATCCATGATCATTTATTGACAGTATGGTAAATTTAGAGAGATATGCTGTTGAAGCAATACAGTGGAAATGAAGGTAGGAATCAAAATCTTTTAGTTAATCTGCTTGAAGTGCTGCTGCACGCAAACTTTCGTTCCGAGCCACTGGTAAGGCTAATTAACAATTGGAAAGATGTCTGAGCCGCATGCCCAAGTGCCGACCAAGACTTGGCTCACTCACTAATCTGGTTTTAAGTCTAGCATAAGCTCTGTAGTAAATGGAGGCAAATCGATAGAATCTTATTAAAAAACTAAAGGTTATTGCTAACTGGTGGAGTCACACGATTTCAACCGTCTCTTTCAATGATGATAAGGTAGATATCAGAGTCCTCTTCTTAACAAATGCCCGACTTGCTGCAAAGATCAGCTGCACAGCAGGTTCCCTTTCCGAGAAACATTTCTATGCCTGGGAGCAAAAGAAAGCGCATTATTATCTGACAGTCTTAAAGAGTTAAGCAAACCTTTTAAGTCTCCAGTTTTTATTTGATAGTGCGTGCGTTGTATCCTACCTGATAAGTCGTATTTCTGAGTTAATTTTCGAACAGAACTCTTTTCTGCGGCCTTGACATGGCTGTTTGACGGTTATTATCTCTACCACCAATTCTACCCATTTACATAAAAGGAGTAAGGCAAAGCTATATTGCTCGCTCAGCAAGTAAGAAATCACCGACTATTTTCGTTAATTTAATGTTATGACACTGTGGTGTTCGGATGGCACGAGAAACGGAGATATATTCTTGGATTCTAACACAGAACTTTTAATATTTTCTAACATGTGTCGTCGCCATTACCGGAAGTGATTATACATCGAATCATGAACGGAAGCGAGGCTGAATTAATGTAAACGTAAATCGAATACAGCACAGACACCAAACTGATATTTATGTAAGGGCACATCAGCATCCTGATAGAATATCCACCTCAACAAACATTGATTGTACGAAATCAAGAGTCTACACAGCTCTCCCTTAGGTTGTTCGCCAACAGTTGTTATTTCGAATCTAAAATTACAATTGAATATTTTTTCTTCTTAAAACGTTCAGAATCATCGCTGAAGCATTTAGATTGAGCCCGAGGGCATAGTTCGCACTCGTCATTCTGTTTTGGGCTTCATATATAGCGATCCAAAAACGGTAGTAATAGGAAGAGATGTTGTTTACCTGCCTTACGGGTCTCCCTTCATATGTACATCTAGTTAATCATTGGCGAAAAATTAGAAAACCTAAACTCACATTTGCTCATAACTTAATTGACTGACCTTATTTACATACGGCTACAAAATTGCTGCAATATCTTGGTTGCTAAGATTCAGACAGGGGATACGTCAACGGAAAGGGTGCAGATTTTTGGACTCTATGATGATCAACTATCATTAACAAATTGGTACCTTTCCTCGACATCTAGCAAAGTTATTGAATTTTTCCAAGAACTTGCGCAAAGTTATTGAATTTTGCCAAGAACTTGCGCCATTTCATCCGTCAGCTCCGCAATAAAGAGATGCTGCTACGATTTGCACTTGAACTCAAAGATGAACAATAAGGGACTCTTAGGAATACTGACTGTCTGGCAGAAAAAGGGTGTAGAACCCTTTTCTAGAGAGAGACAGTGAATCATTTGCCTTGTTTAAGAATCAGAGAGGCAAAGAGTATTTCGCGACGAGTACTTCACTGATCCGTGTGCTCCATTTATTATTTCCATTGTTCGAATTTATGGGCATCAAGATGTATATCCTTTTACAAATACGAAATATCAACAGTCAAAATTATCATGATATTGTATAAAACGTAGCGAGGAGTCGTGACGTAAGCGGTGGAACTAAAATATTGCGCAACACGGTTTCCACAGTAGAATATTGATAAGGCGGCTCATGTGAAATATAAATATAGAGGCAAGACCGATAAAACGTAGATAAGTAAATTTTAAGACGGAGCACTATATTTCGGCTGGCCAAACCAGCCTTCTTCAGGTGCAGTGCAGTACTTAACTACGTTGTATCGGTCTTGCCTCTATATTTATATTTCATATTCGTTATTTTGGGCCGATCAGATCATCGCTGATCCAACGTACAAGAGTAGGAGTATCGTCCACGGTTGCCTGCTGAACATTTCACAGT